CAGCAGGAAATACTGAGCAGAAGTATCACAGTAGAAATGACATCATTTTGTGCGCGGTGCTGGACCGTGTATTTACACACCCGGCTCTGATGCATCTCCCTCTGCTCAACTAGTGACAAAGAGCAACGGAAACACCTACAAACTGCTTAGGCATCTTCTTCATCTGACCTTCCCAGGGAGACAGAACCTTCCACAGGAGGGGAATCACTCTTTGAGGAATCATACCCTGCCCATTGACCATGAAGGGAAACTAGACGTGGGCTCAGGCACAGTACCTGGGTGGCAGTTGTCTCCCCCGGGAATGATGCTCTGCTCTCTCCAGGGGCCATCAAAACCACCGAATTTGGTAAAAGCTGAGGAAAGTTTTGGGAAAGCTCAGGAAAGTGGTCATGAGTCCTTTTTTACCCTTTACAACACACAGCAACCACTGATTCCACCTGAACAAGGGCAATCCTGCATTAAGCCAAGAGCTGCAGTAACATCCGTTTGGATTTGAGTTCTTGAAAAAAATGCTTCTGATGAGACGTGCAGGAAGCCTGGGGAATCTCAAACTATCCGTTTTACAAAGCAAATACCAAGGCAAAATGTGTGGCCAGTAAATACCTACAGGGAGAGAAGATGTTGTCTGATCTAAAAGGTTCTTTATTGTAGCACACGAAGCCAAACCCAATTTCACAAGGGAAATGTGGCACACAACCAATTCAAAGTGGTAACTTCCTAACACTGCAGTGAATTTACCAAGATTCACTATTTTAATGACTCATTCTACCTTTCCCCCATGGATTTTTCATTGGGTTTTCTGGTCTTCTTCACAAGTGCATGTATCTCCTGAGTATACATTTATTATCATCAATTCCATTCTCCTCCTGTTTAGTACACATTGTCTTTCAGGGCTCTTCTGACTCTGTGTGGTTTTGGCCACAGCATCCTGTTAAACAGCTGTGAGAATTCAGTATTTGGGACATTTCCTAGAATACTTCCATAACTCTCAGTTACCCTTCTTGGTCTTAAATGTAAGTTTCCTGCACACTCAGTTTTGCTCATCATTATCTACGATTTTATGAGAACACTTTCTCAGCAGCATCATTAGATAAAACCTTCCCCTGGGACTATATTACCTTTCTGCACAAAACAGAGTCAGTTCACAGCTGTGCATGGAGGCAAAAACCCTGTAGCTAGAAACACTTGTGCTAGCTGAGACACTTCATGAATTGGCAGCTAACCATCAGCTATTTCAGGAGCAGCAATTAAGTGACTACTACTTGAGACCTACACAGATAAACTCTGCCAGAAGTCCTTAGGACCATGATGCTATTCCTCTCCAGATGCACAGAAGCATCTTACCCCACACGTTGTGTTCCTTGCTCTGATCCAGTTGCTGGTAAGAGTCCCACCAGCACCTACCGCTCTGGCTTTCAGGATGTCCCCAACATGCCCATGTGGGAATAACTTTTGGCAGCCACTCCTACTGTGCCCTCTGCTACACCAAGATAAAAGTGCTGCCAGATGCCACGTGTGCCTCTCGAGAACTAGAAGACCCTGCTATCTCATGAGCACGTTTTGCACTTAATCTTTAGGGGGGTTTAATCTTTTATAGTGATAATGCAACA